TTTATCAGTGTAGGGCATCAGAGATTACAGGTTGAAAATAGCTGCCCATTACTGTGAGTGTAAGCTACTATCATGTTTTTATGGATTATGGCCTTTGAAGTATGAATGATTAGGCATCCTCTCAGTAGGTGAACGTAGTGTTTGTGTATGCATATGTGATCCCCCATAAGTAGGGGAATGGTGTGTATTGCTCTGCCCAGTTATGTGTTTTTTCTGAAAATATCCCTTTTGTGAAAATGAAAAAGAGTAATTATGAGAATAGGCTTTAGAGTTGGACAGAGCTAGGTTTTTTTTTTTTTTTTAATAGTTTTACTAATAAGTAGCTATAAGACAGGCCAGGCCTGTACTTAGCTCTCCAGGAGGCCAAGGCAGGTGGAGCTCAGGAGTTGGATACCAGCCTAAACAAAATGAGACCTGTCTCTACTAAAACAGAAAAACTAGGTAAGCAATGTGGCAGGCGCCTATAGTTCCAGCTATTCAGGAGGCTGAGGCATAAGGATCTTTTGAGTCCAAGAGTTTGAGTTGCTATGAGCTCTATGATTCTGTGGCACTCTACCCACGGCAACAAAGTAAGGCTCTGCCTCAAAAAAAGGAAAAAAAAAAACAATAGCTATGAGAGTTTGTGCCATTTATTTAACCTCTCGAAGTCTTGGTTTTTACACAGTAAAACAAGAATAATAATAGTGGCTACATGCAGTGGTTCACACCTCTCTCTAACCCTAACACTTTTGGAAGCCTACAGCAAGAGTCACTTGAAGCCAGGAGTTTAAGACCAGCCTAGTCTAGAACAAAGTGAGGATCCCTCCCCATCTTTACAAAAAAATTTTTAAAAATTAGCCAGGTGACTAAGACAGAAAGATTGCTTGAATCACAACACTGCACTTCAGCCTGGGGAGCAGAGTGAGAGCTTGTCTTAATTAAAAAAAAAAACAAAAAACCAAAATAATAATACTGTTTACAAATTAAGATAAATTATTAATTCAGTAACTACTGAATGCCTTCAAAGTTAAGTGCAAGGCACTGTTTCTGTGTTCTGGAGATAGAATTATAAATAAAACAAAGTTCAAAACTTATTTGCATTAGGGAAGACACTCAGGGTGCCCTATCACTTTTCTCTGCTGCCTTCTGGAATAAGAATTGTCTTGAGCTACACATTAAATACACGAACACTAACGAAAGCTTATGAGTAAAATGAAAAAAGAAAAGTATGTGCATAATTTTTGTGATATCCGCCACCACAGATAAGCAAAAATGTCCTCATGTAATCCACATGTGGCTCACAGGCCACAGATTGGACACCTCTGTTGGCAGAGCACATAGCACATAATGGCAGGTTATTACAATGAAGAAAAGTAAAGCTGAGGAGAGAGTCAAGAGTAGAGGGTGACTCTTTAACTGAGGAATCTGGACAGGATTTCCCAAGGGGTGAACATTTGAGTAGAGATGTGAATCAAGTGAGAAAGCAAGCCATGTGACCCTCTGGGAAAAGAGTGTTCCAACCTGCTTGAAGAACAGATGAGAAGGTCTTGAAGCACGAACAGGCCTCGTGTATTTAAGAAACATGAAGCCTGGAATAAATAGATGTCTGTGTATCTCTGCATAATACTAACCACCCTTAGAATTCCTGGTTTCCAGTACCTCTGCTGCTTGCTGCTTGCTGCTTTGGCTGCTCCTTTGTTATTCTGTCTGTTGACCTTAACTTCTAACTTTGTTAAAGTCTCTATGAGGGAAACAATGCTAAGGTGATGTAAGGACAAAACTATCCGATCTCAAGTGGAGAAGACAAGCAAGATACACAGCCAACTAAAGCAAATCAGACTTAATGATATAGAAGTATGAGCGCTTCTGTGCACAGAAGAAAAGGCCATTCCCTCTACTTTGGGGAACTATGGGGTGGGGTGGTTTCAGAAGAAGTGATAACTTTCATGAGTCTTGTTATAACAGTGGGAGTTTTAACAGGTGAAAAGGGGGCAGGAACAGCATCATTAAAAGAAAAATCAGTAAAAAAAAGGAGGCCTTTTCACTCATGATTTTACTCCCCCACCCAGCTTCATGTCCTGCAGGCTAGTCATAATGGAGTAATTGTCTGTTCCTGAATGTGTTGAGCTTTTCCACCATGTTGAATCTTTAATGTCTTTCAACATATATTACACATATACCTGTTTAATCAGGACCTTCCTGCTTATAGTTACGATAACATGCCCAAATGATTTTCACTTATGACCTCAGATGTTCCTACTCTGATCGCTAATGTTCTTCGTGGTGTTTGTGTGTTTTGCAGTTCATTTCGGTGTACTTTGACAAATATTCCACAGACACAGGCTTTACTGAATAAAGCGAAACTTCCTTTAGGATTGTTGTTACATCCCTTCAGAGACCTAACGGTAAAGTAGTAACATTTTAAAATGTTTGTGGGTACTGATAAGTATGCTCTGAACAAAGTACCTAGATTTTGTGTCTTAGAATTTTCTTGCTCTTGTTTGAAATTAAGAAATAATCATTTCTGTCACATTCAATTCGGCAAACATTTTGTGAGTGCCTGTTCTGTGACAGGCTGTGAACTAAGCAGTGGTGATAGACAGATGACTAAACCATTAACCTTGCCCCCAACAAGTTCTTATTTGACAGGGGAAGATATAAAAACAAATAGTTATAGTGCTGTATGTTAATTCATGTAATTAATCAAATTCTGTTGGAAATGATTCTCTGTGGGTACAGTGGCAAAAATTTTCTATAAGTGATGAAATCTGAGTTGGATTTTAAAAGATCAGTAGTTTTCAAAGTTTGAACAGCCTAATTTAGGCTTAAGAACCAATAATACTGTTCAATTAGAGAGGAAAATGGTCTGATTATTCCTTAGCAAATTAAATAACCTTGTAATAGAGAAAGTCAAGCACTTTAGATCTGTTGAATAAAAACATTACTTGTAAGTTTCTACAGTCTACTTGGTTTAATACCTAGCTTGGTAGATTTTTATACAGACTTCTGATATTTCATGCAAATATGTTGAGTGGATACCTAATTTTTTAAACTTCAGAAATAATTTTATTCAGAGATGTTTTATTTATACTTAATAAGTTGCATTTCTCCCGTATACTTTATTACTACTGTGGTTTTCTACCTTTAATATTGGCACTGGGTATCTTTTGCTCTCATCCATCCAAAAAATTTAACTACCTGTCGTGCTGGATGCTGGATGTAAAAGTCAGTAAGCTTCTTTATGGAGCTTACTTTCCTACTAGGAACTATGGAAAGGATCAAAATGAATAGAAAGTAAAATAAGTATAGGATGCATTAAGTATCAGAATTTGTTCATTCAATAGGTACTATTTTAATTACTTATAATACTATTACAGTCTTTTTTGTTGTTGTTGAGACAGTCTCACTCTATTGCCTTCAGTAGAGTGCTGTGGTATCACAGCTCACAGCAACCTTCAACTTATGGGCTTACGCGATTTTCTTGCCTTAGCCTCCCAATTAGCTGGGACTACAGGCGCCCGCCACAACACTTGGCTTTTTTTTTTTTTTTTTTTTTTTTTTTTTTTGGTGCCATTCTTGTTGTTTTATGTGGCCCAGTCCAGGTTCGATCCCGCCAGCCTCGGTGTTTGTGGCTGGTGCCCTATCCACTGAGCTATGGGCTCTGCCCTATTACAATCTTAATCTCTAAACCAAGATAGTTAATTTCCTGTATACACAGATAAGAGTTTTCCGCTAAATACAGATATTATATGATACTTTCTAGAAGTATATACAATAAATTGTTCACAGTGACATCCTCTGGGACATAAAATTCTGAGTAATATTTTATTTTCTCATTTTTAGTTAACTGTATTTCCTGGATTTTTATTTTTTTTATATAAAGAATATGTAGTTGGGTAATAAAAATAGTATATGTGAAAAAATTTAAAAAGATATAAATGTTCATGTGTAGATAGAAAAAAGCTGGAATGAAATAGATTAAAATGGGATTAGCTCGGGTACATAATATATGATCTCTTAATCTTTTTTCATATTTTCTAAATTTTCTGTATTGAATATAAAATTCCTTTTCCAAACTAAGCATAGGAATGTATTTTTTAAAAAGACACACTGTGGAAAAAAAAAAAATACACACTGTGTTTGGCCTTCTTCTGACCTCAGCAGCCATCCTGTGGCTGTGTGACAAGCAGTGCCTAATAATCCTGGTACCAAGTGCAGTCAACAAAAACAAAGGCAGATGTTTCTTTCTTACTATTCTTCAGTCTGTGTGAGTCTTGATGAACTCTAATTTCCTTCGGCAACCAGGCTTTTTTTTTGTTAGTCATAGTTGTTACATTTAATATGACTTTAGTGTTTTCTTACAGTTCATGGCAAGAGAGAAAGAAAATTTGATAGCTATTTGTGCTGCTCAGCCCATCACTGGATTTTATTGACGTGTTTCAGTGTAAAATCACACAAAAGCACTATTAGGGTTGCTGTTCTGTATTGGGAGTAGAGCAGCATGTGTGTTTTTCCCTTTTTCTGACTACAACAACATCTTTATGTTCTAGCAATTACCAGTGATAACATCAAATACCATTGTGAGATGCCGATCTTGTCGAACTTACATTAACCCTTTTGTATCCTTCATCGATCAACGTAGATGGAAATGCAATTTGTGCTATAGAGTTAATGATGGTGAGTTTCAGATTCGTAAAATCAATGTTTTAATACATTTTTGTCATTACCTGGTTTCTCTCCTCATTACTTTCAAAAAAACTTTTATGTCATTTTTAGCAAAGAGAATACAGGTTAGGGCTGGGAATGTTTCATTTTGGCTGACGAAGGGGACATTGAGAGTGACAGTAAGGGCAGAATACAAATAATACTCATAAAAGAAACAATGATGCTTGTGCAGATGAGCTTATGCAGATTATGCTTGCGCCCCACAGTTGAGATTGTCTTTGTTTGTACCTTTGGTCATTCAGCTCAGGTAGGTCTTTGCCAGTGTATATGGATGCATGCAGGTTTATGTGTCTGTCTATTGTCTTATTTTTTCCCCTGTCATGATATAATTAATAGGACACAAGTCTAAGAAGCAAGGTTATTTATGTCCTGGTTTACTCACATGATTTCAGAACATAAGTTTTTTTTATTCTTCTGATCTGTATTTTTTTTTTTTTTTGAAACAGAATTTCACTTTGTTACCCTTGGTAGAGTGCTGTGGTATCATAGCTCACAGCAACCTCAAACTCTTGGGCTCAAGTGATTCTCTTGTATCAGCCTCCCAGGTATCTGAGACTATATGTGCCCATCACAATGCCCGGCTATTTTTATTTATTTATTTTTTGAGACAGTCTCTCACTATATTGTGGTGTCATAGCTCACAGCAACCTCAAACTCTTGAGCTTAAGCGATTCTCTTGCCTTAGCCTCCCAAGTACCTGGGACTACAGGCGCCTGCCACAACACCTGGCTATTTTTCGTTGCAGTTGTCATTGTTGTTTAGCAGACCCAGGTCAGGTTCTAACCCACCAGCCCCAGTGTATGTGGCCAGTCCCCTGACCACTGAGCTATGGGTGCCAAGCCCTAGCTATTTTTAGAGACAAGGTCTCGCCTTGGCTTGGGCTGGTTTCAAATCTGTGAACTCAGGCAGTGTACCTGCCTTGGCCTTCCAAAGTGCTAGGATTATAGGTATGAGCCACTGCTGGTCTATATTTTATTTTCTTTTTATTAAATCATAACACTGTATATCAATACAGTCATGGGGTACAATGTGCTAGTTTTATATACAATTTGAAATATTTTCATCAAACTGGTTAATATAGCCCTCGTGGCATTTTCTTAGTTACTGTGTTAAGACATTTGTATTCTACATTTAGTAAATTTCACATGTGTAAGAGGGCTTACACAATTTATTTTTGACATTAAAATATTCATATAAACGTTGGTGATAAAGCTGTTTATTTTTAGGCATGCGTATATGTGTTTAGTGACAAGTTGTATATTGGATTTCTACCTCTTATCTAGTTCCTGAAGAATTCATGTATAATCCCCTTACACGATCCTATGGAGAACCTCATAAACGACCAGAAGTTCAGAATTCAACTGTGGAGTTCATTGCTTCTTCCGATTACATGGTAACTGTTTAGTGTTAAAATTGGTTGTGGGATACAACTGTATCACTCATGTGTTACTGCTGTTAAGTGAATCTTTACCCAGATTTTGAAATTATTTATAGTATTAATTTTTAAAAATAGCATTTAAAGGTTATATTTAACAAATAGAAAACTCTTCCTAAAAATTAATTGTTGTTGTAGAAGAATGTATTATATCATTAAGAAATGTTAGTCATGTTTTATGATGAGCACTAACATCTATAATTTTATCATTTTAACTTAGTTAATTATGTGGAATGGATGTGGATATTCTTTTATCATTTAAAATATAGATATTGTTTTATCATTTAACATTTAAGACTTTCAAAACAGAAAAATGTCTATTTTTGCCAAAAAATTAAGTCTCCAGTATCTTAAATATCCAGCTTCATAATTCACCCGGTACAAATAAATGGACATTGACTTCACTGTAAATTTTGTTTTTATTTTTCTTTTTGTTTCAATTGTAAAATTCTACCAGTTCTTTAATTATATTGACTCTAAAATTTCATTCTTCTTTCCACTTACAAAATGAGTTTTTTGCCTAAGCTCTGCCCATCTTCTTTAACCTGTCTTCTCATTTTTAATATATTTATAGTAACTAGATTTCTTCCATATCCTCATTTCTAATCCTTGTCTGTAAAAATTTAAATGCTACTAGTAAAAAAGGATGAGTTCTGTTGCCTGCACTAGAATACAGTGGCATGATCATAGATCCACCATAGCTTCAACCTCCTAGGCTCAGGTGAGCCTCCTGCTACACCATCCTGAGTAACTGAGACTATAGGCACATGCCACCATACCCAGCTGATTTTCCCTTTTATAAAATCTTTTTTGGGGAATGCGGTCTCACTGCATTGCCCAGGCTGATTTCAAATTCCTGGCGTCAAGTGATCTCCTACCTCAGCCTCCCTAGTTGCTGGGATTACAGGCTTGAGCCCAAGGATTTTCTTTACACTTAGCACTTAACTCTTAGGATTCAGCCACCATTAGGTGGTATAATCGCTAGTACTAATGGCAGATTGTCAGGTTTAAAATTTATTTTTATTTTATTTTTAAAATTATTATTATTATTTTTTGTGACAGATTCTGACTCTGTTTCCCAGGCTAGAGTGGCATGACTCCAGCCTACCTCACAGCAACCTCGAACTTCTGGGTTCAGTTGATCCTCTGCATCTGCCTTCTGTGTAGCTGGACTACAGGCACCAGCCGAAATGCTTGGCTGTTTTTTCTTTCTTTTTTTTTTTTTTTCAATCTGTTTGTAGTAAAGATGGGGTCTCACTCTTGCTCAGGTTGGTCTTGGACTCCTGAGCTCAAGGGATCCTCCTGTCTTGGCTTCCCAGAGTACTTAGATTATCGGAGTGAGTCACTATACCTGGCATAAAATTTCCTTTAAAAAAAATAAAAATTTTGACTTGGTGTCTGTAGCTCAAGCGGCCAATGTGCCAGCCACATACACCAGAGCTTGCAGGTTTGAATCCAGCATGGGCCTGCCAAACAACAATGACAACTACAACCAAAAAATTGCTGAGCGTTGTGGCGGTGCCTGTAGTCCCACCTACTTGGGAGGTAGAGGCAAGAGAATTGCTTAAGCCCAGGAGTTGGAGGTTGGTGTGAGCTGTGATGCCACAGCACTCTACCCACGGCAACAGCTTGAGGCTCTGTCTCAAAAAAAAAAAATTTTAAATGGGTTTAGGAATGGTGAAAGGATTTAGAAAGTACTTAGCACTAAATAATTAACAAGCTTAATTTAAAAAAAAAAAACACATCCTAATAGGTTAGAGAGTGAGACCTAACCTATCTCTTGAAAAAAAATTTTTTTTGAAGATATTTTAGCCAGTATTTCTTACTGAAAAAAATCTTTAACCCATCTATTTAGGTATTACTGTATATTAACTGCCTTTATGCATAACCAACTTTACAAAAGAAAAAATTAAAGGAATGTAGTTTTTATTAGTACATACAATTTTACAGAACAGCAGTCCTGTTGTGAATTTTTTGTATAATATAGCC